CAACACATTAACAAGAGAATTCTGAGTAAAACCAAAGTTACTTTCCCTAGTAACTAGTTACTCTGAAAGTAACGAGTAACTTGAAGTAACTGAGTTACTTTTGATAGAAGTAACGAGTAATGTAACTAAGTTACTAATTTAAAGTAACTTACCCAACACTGGTTATGAATAAATCTTCATTTTTTTGGTACCGGTACTGGTTTCATTTTGTTGTATTTATCTGCGACCCCTTAAAGGCTTTTCCGTGAAAATACTGTCGGACATAAACCGGTCTGTGGCGCAAAAAGGTTGGAGACCGCTGATATAGAGGATGTTACAAAGACACACACACTTATTACACTCACATTCATCCCCTGGACACTTACCAGAACGTTAAACTAAGTCTTTCCTTGTAATAATTAATTTATGGGAACTTGCTTTGTGTCCCCAGAAGGGAATGTGTAAACAGATTTAGGTCCCTGAACATGAGTAAAACACACACACACACACACACACACACACACACACACACACACACACACACACACACACAGGCTGAGCTCTGTCCTCATTTGCCAACAGATGCTCCGTCTAGACGTATTACAAGCCACAATCTCAGCACATCCAGAGGTGTGTGTGTGTGTATCAAATGCCAAAATGTCAGTCATAAATATTAATAACACGAGCCTCTGATGCCATGAAAATGTTAAGGATTACAACTTGTTGGTTGCTCATTGATTTTCTGTCATGTAGTTCTTTCCAAGTCTGCAAAGTGCAAACAAATCTAAAATCGTTCAAGGTTAAACTGGACTTTTAGACTGTTCGAATTTATTAAGTGAGTGAGTAATGCACATTAATGCACACAAAACAGGAAAACCTGAACAGGCCAGACTGCCAATGAAGAGACTAAACTATATTCAGCCTGAGGAAAACTGGAAAACCACAAATATAAGGTTAAAACTTCATGAATGTACATTAGATTAATTACTTGATCCTATGCTGGTGGGAGAACCTCATTAATGAGCAAAAGTAGGTGGATATAGAAAAATTAGTAAGCAAGGCATTCTTTATTATCTCTATTTGACTCATGGTTTCAGGCAGTATCCTCTTTTTTCCACAAATGCAAACGAGAGAGAAACCAGGAACATTACAAATATGTGCTAACCATAACTGTGTGTCACACACGACAGTAAAATGTACATATTTAACAATCAGTTTATGAGTTTTGTTGTAAAGTTTTGCATGCACAGTTTGTATCGTCACCAACCAGTGAGGGTGTGTCCCCTGGCGAGGATTCCTGCTGGGAATACGGAGGGGGTCACTGTCCTCTCCTCTTCTCCTCTGCTCCTCCTCTTCCTCATCCCGCTGACTCTTCCTCTCTGCTTTCTGTCCGGTCGGTCTGTCCTGGGGGGGCAGCAGCTGAGTCTTCACCTTCTCTGACAAACTGTCTGCATCTTTGAACACACTGCAGAGAAGAGAGATGACTTCATTTATTTTTCAGCTCTATATGTTTATTTTCTGACTATACCAGAGTTGCTAAGCATGACTCACGATTCAAAATAATCTTTAGTTATCAAACAAACTGCCCTTCAAGGCCACCCTCCCTATCAGACAACCTTTTTAAAAAGGCTTTTTCCAACAAATAAAAGATTTGAACAACAAGTGGGTGTCAATCTGAGATGACCTTATAAGGCAGGCTGAGTACGAGGCATACTTTATTACTATTTATACATTTCTTCCTAAAGTTGGAAAGTTTGTCCCTTACAGGATCCAAAAGTCTAACACAACAATTAAAATAATCAGAACAACATAAGACAACAGAATAAAAGCTTAATAAAGTAGAGCAGCTCAAAAAAAATAACCTGTCAAATGTGTGAAGCTGGTCAGTGTTCACGTGGTCGTTGATGTTCACCGTTAAGTCCGACACCTGCTGTGTGCTGGAGTTCTACATACACACACACATGCACACACACGATCCATTAAAAAGATAGATTAACATCTCAACAAATCAGCAAATAATAAATTGAACCTAAATCATATTTTCTTATTTTACACAACTGTGCGTCAGATCTTTGCATAGATCTACATTTCTCCAGTCTTACAGTGCAGTAATACGACCCGTATACGAATGACAAAAACTAAAACTCACTGAACTAAACACTAAACTAATCGAAACATTTTAATCGACACAAACTCGAATGACCGAAAAAAACCCACAAATTTAAAAGTAAAGTGTTTGCGACCTCACCCCTGGCTGCAGTGATGTCTGCTCTGAACATCAAGATTCAAACTTAGAAAATCAGACTTTGTCCCTTTTAAGGCTTTTTATGGATCCCTACATCAGGACTGAAATCCAGGACAAACTGGTCGGTCTATGTCAGTGCTCCAATGAAAAATAATCCAGAGGAAAAAATCTTCTTCTTAACCTCCTAAGACCTGAACTCTTTCATGGGCTGATTGGGACCTGATGAATTTAAAAACTAAGAATTACCAGATTTTTTTTTTTACCTAATTTTTGTTTCTGAGAAAAACAAGATCCACATATGAGGACATTCGTTTTAAACTTTGATAGAACAGTGGCAGTATAACGTCCTCGTAATTGACATCAGGCCCTTGTAGAGAAAAATTAAGTATTTTGGTCTAAACAACCCAAAAATGTGATGTTCACATATGTGGACGGCAGGTCCCAGGAGGTAAAGGGGAATTATGCAAAGTTTCAGGTTTCTGCTGTCATTAATAGAGGAAAAAAACCCACACACTACCATAATTTTTAAAGCACTATTTTAAATTGTCAAGAAAACTAATTGAGAACGGTCCTTCAAATGTTTATGTGCTTACCATCAGATTGAAGATCAAGGTGGAATCAACAGTGATTGCCTTGAGGAGCATTTGGGTGTCACTGTTGTTGGCTTTGTATCGCAGACTGTACAGCTCTTTGTTGTTACTCCAGTCAGCAGGCAGCAGCTCGGACTTCTTATCACCGCTGCGGGCCTGGAGCAGGAAGGTCACAGAGGCCGTGAAGACAGATAAAAACAAAGGCGGTCAATTCAATCAGAAACCTGCTTTTTCTTTTCACAATATTTGTTATCAGTATTTGGCCAGTTCACTGCAAATAACAAAGCAATACATAAAAACTACAGCAAGAAATATGTGTTATTATTAGATATGACATATACTAATCTCATCACAAAGGTTGTAAGATTGTTGTAAAAAATTGTAAATAAATTGCAGATTCTTGTGTTGTTGCAGTAAAACAGACTAAAACTAGCTAACATAAACAAGACTAACTCTATAATTAAAATTTGACAAAACAACATTGGTCAATAATGTAAAAATTCCACATAATAAAATAAAAAACGAACGTGGAAAAAATAAATATGATAATTATAATGATACACATAAAAATCCAGTAGAGTGAATTCATTTTTTTAGGTGCATAAAAATTTCTCATTATTTATATCTAAAGAAAAAAAACCTTTTCAACATGTCATCATGTTCAAAATAAAGAGAAATGTCTCATTTGGAACTGGGTCACTTTACTAAATGGTAGGTGTCATTCCAGAGTGTTTTTATATAAAACAATCACACAGAGATGCCAAACGTTTCCCTTTTCACGTTAAATCCCATTATAAATGCTTCATTTTAAAAATAATACTGATTACCTGTTGATTTCTGTAAAATGAACAATGGGAGAGGGTGGAGGATAGCAAGGCTGCACACTAACATCTGAATCTGTGTCATAAACTCCCGTGGTGTTTCAGGATGACTGCCCCCAGTGGGTTAGCCAGCTAAAGATGACATGACAGTTTTGGTAAACTGTCCCTCTTAAAACAGATGCCGTCAAACTGAATATCAGCCATGACAGTTGGATTAAAGAAACCTAAAACGCATTTCTCATACTTTTAAATTCTTCGCGTTAAGGTCAGCTTCACACGGGAGGTGATGCTTGTTTATGAAGCTATAGCTAATGTACGTTGAGAATTACATACAGAACTACGTTGCAAAAACCGACATTTTAAGAATTATTGGACATTACGGTCTGAAAAACATCGAAAACCACATATACAAAATATTTTTGCTAATATTTATTTGCATTCCTCAATTTGGCGTAAGAATGATGTAAAAAGAAAATATTATCTTTGCCATAATGTGGGATAATTTAACACAAGATTTAGCTAAACTAAGCGAACTCACCTCGTCTCCTGAGCCGATGCATCTATATCCGTTCTTTATCAACTCCCAGTGAACAAAACACACAACGGCGTCCTGCGGGCAGGTGATGTTACCTGCGACACAGGTGTACAACACCTCCAAGCCAGCCATGTTTTCCTTCAATCTGCCAACATCGGTACAGTTTCAGGCAAAAGAAATGAAAACGAAAGTCTGGGCAGCAGCTTCACTGAGTTAAGCTGCAGTTCGGTGCCAAGCAACAGGAACCATTTCCGCTTCCCGGCTTTTCAGTTTAAAAGCACCAGGGAGCTGACCGAACGGTACATATCTGCAAATATCCAGTGATATTATGTGACGTAATAACCTTTTTTCATTAAGCTTTATTTCTATTTCATTTTGTATTTTTAGCTTCAATTAAGTTTCATTTTGAGTCACTCTCAGATTAGGTTTTCTTATTTCAGTTCAGTTTTTCTTAGTTTCTGGGTTACTTTTACTATAATGTGAGTGTATTTGTAAGGGGGAAATTTAGACAAAGTATTAAAATACAAACTCAACACTTCATGTCATGTACGCATGAAGTGTTGCGTTTCTCAGCCTTACAAAACATGTGCACCAATGCACCAAACTAAAATATTTTTCACATACGTGGGTTTTATTTTGTTTGCGTTAAATATAATAATGTTGAAATCGGCCCTACTTTAATTCATTACATCTTAAAAGAGATTATATCTCTGTATAACTGTTAATTTAAAACAGGGGCTTCAAACTCGCAAGCCGGGGGCCACTTGCAGCCCACATCACCCCTACTTGGGGCGTGTATATTGACATGAAGAAATATAGTACAATTTGGCCCTTGAAGTTATTTATTTATTTATTGTTAGGGTGCAATAAGTGCAATGTTAAAATAAGTTCCTTAAAAAGCAAAAAATGATTTTATATGAAAGCAATATGAGCAGAGAGTACAAACATGTTGAGGGATTGGCTGTGCTAATTCAGTGAGTTATTTGTAAAGAAAACAGTTTTCACTAGCAGTCAAAAACCAATGTGTACACTTATTTCTGCATTTTTATGTTGTTAAATACAAACAAAATATAACAGAAATGCTGCCACGTGTCTGGCCAGAAAGAGAGTACCAATTTGTTTATTTGGCAGTTCAATGAAAGGCTTCAGTTAGCTAAGAGTGAGGGAAAAATGCGTTCTTCTTTGCAATTTTATCTTGTTATACAATATTTGAAATTAAAAAACAAACACTATATTTTCTAAGATATTTGTGTGTTTTCTTGTTTGTTTGTTTTTGTACTCCTAGAACACTAACGTGCTCTCCAATAAGATCACAATGCCAGCAGTGGCCTACAGCTTTAAGACCCCTGATCTAAAGAATAAAGATATGCATGCATCAAAAACACGAGCGATAATTTAAAAAAATCTAAAATGAAAGTTGATTAATTTTCAGACGGCATTTTATGCTTGTTATTGTATTAGTTGTGTGAACCTATTTTAATGATCCCAACTTGATCAGGAAAAAAGTAAATTTATATTTTTAAACCGAGTCAATTTTGTTTTGATAAAATAAACGCAGGGTTAGCGGAAGCGCAGTGGTTCACTGTGTACGGCTTTTTGTTTTGATCCCATTCAAATAACCTCCGGATGAAAACAACTAAAGGACAATAAATGTTCCGCTTTGTGTGCTTGCCCTGTTTGTGAGAGTGTGTTTCAAATGTAAAATGAATCATCAGTTGACATCAAGCAAACATGTAAAAAGATATCAAATACACCAAAAAGTATCTATCTATCTATCTATCTATCTGGACCTTTGGTTCCCTCCCACCTTCCTTCACATTTGGAGACTTGATTTCCCGTCGTGCACCTCGCAGGGCGGACAGCGCTTCCTTGTCAAGATGGCGGCTCCCTTGACTCTGCTGTTGATTGTGGCCGTTACGATCCGTGCCGCTTTGTTCCGGTCCAGTTTGGCGGAGCTGATTGCAGAGAGGGTGGAGGTGGTGTCGCCGATAACCGCCTGGAAGAGAGGTAAGCGCGGGTCCAGCGGTTTAGAGCCGCTGCGTTCGCTTCACGTCCGGGTCCCCTCACCTCTCCCTCATCGGCGCTGTTATCCGGTAACTCGGTCAAACCGGTTCAGCTGCAAAAATCAGCAGCTGAGACTCAAATTCAGAAAGTTCGGTGATATTTTACTGACATTAAGCTAACAACGGACACTTTTTACTTTCTGTAGGGGAAGATTTAAACTAGTGTTTCTTTGCTATTCCCAATGAATGGAGCTCAGGGGTTGTTTCTCTGTCAAACATCCATCGACCACCAATATTAATGACGACCAGAGTCTCTGCCAGCGGCTGAACAAAGATCTGCACAGTCTCTAGTATTTGTGGACCCCCTGTAAATGACCCCCCTCCTATGACCCAAATTAGTTTCCACGGGGTCATTTGCGCATAGTAAAGTAGACGTTACACCTGTAAAACATCTGGCTGACGTGTATAGTGTGTGTATAATCTTACATCAGCAAGTGTTTAAAAATTAATTTCCACAGCTACAGCCAATTTAAAACCACTACTTAGCCTAACAGGCACGTGTCCCCCTGCCTTCAGGACCTGCCTGCTGTGAGGTGATGGTGCTAACAATTGCACCACCGTGCAGACACCCTAATTTGGACAAAAGTATACAAACAGGCTGAAATATATACATACACCCCCATGAATATTTGTTTAATTGCCCCGTAGCAACTGACTACCTCTTCTGTAATCATTGAGCTATGAGGGCTCAAAAGTGATGGAGAAAATGCACACACCCCTGCCCCATGAGCTTCGATGGCCAGTAAATATCTGAGAATAATTAATGTACAAAAAAAATCAACTGGTTCACAGTGGGAGGCACTCGCTGATTTGACTTTATTATTTGACATATTTGTATCAGCTTTCCCTTAGTTACCACAGACAAAGATTTTGTTTCAGATGAATTTGTGAAATATTAGTGGACTGTGTTTAAGTTTTCATTTAGCATATTATGACATGGTACCTGACAGGAGCCTGAGGTGCAGGTTTGCAGTCAATCTGAGGTTTTTCTATAAAACAGAAAACATGACCAACGTGCTGTGAGACTCGCACAGAAACACTTCATGCATTTTTCATTACTCAGTTGTAACTGGAAGCTCTGGAACTGCTACTGTCAAGAGGAGGCATTCAAAGATAATAGCCCAGTGCTAATAAAAATAATAAAAGTCGGAGATTTTAACATCATTTATGATTTTGGCTTCTAACGATAGTGGAATAGAGAAAAAATTGTTTAAAATGTCACTTCACTCTCGAAATTTCAGACCAAATTCACCAAGTTGAAGTTCCATAAATGCAAAACTAAACATTTTCCATGGGAGAAAGCAGTATCCAATGTCCGTTATAGTAC